CACTCACTGATTGAAGGCACGGTCACACTCCTGGCGGCTGTGCATTAGGCAGTTACACTCCTCCTCAAGTTTCCTGAGCTCCACAACCTGTCTCTCTCTCTGCACTTGCTCTTTTTTCTTCTGAAGCCACGACCTGTAGGCCTCCTCTGGGTCATAGACGTCTCTCTGTGACCGCCGGCAGAAGTGGAGACAATTCAAAAATTGTGAACGTTTTATTTTTTTTTCTTTCTTAGTTGGAAAGTTTATAATCTGCAACTTTTGAGGAGGCAGAGGCATTTTTGTAGGATTTTCTTTCTGAGTATGACACACCGACTTCCTTCGGCATCATGTTTCAGTGCCAGTATTGAGGGTATTTTTGCACAGTGAAGCTGGAATGAAGCGAAGCAAAAAGACTTCCTTCAAATGTTTCAACTTGACTTGGAATCAACATTTAAATGATTAAAACATTGACAAAAAGTTTCATAACATACATTAAAATTGGTTTTGGCATTGATTATTAACAACCCTACAAAAAAACTCATGCACTGTGCATAAACACCATCTTCAAGATAGGAATCCAAACAATTTAAATGAACTCCTCCAGTACTGACTAAGAGTCCTCCAGTATTCAGTTTGTACTACACCAGCGTCTTCCTGGTGGCTTGACATTTAGGCTCACAGTGTGAGCATAAAAACCTCTAAATGGCACTGTAGCGATAACCACCTATTCTCACTCTCCAAATTATTGTAGCTAATTGAAGGCTGAAGGTTGTTTTGATCACTACGACCCCTAAGATTAAAAACTGTTTCAAAATGTTTTATCTCAAACATCTCATACAAGCTCCAGTTCTGCATTAGGCTGCATAGTTATCTTTTTTGGAGATTATCACTGAGAACAACTGCAGGCTGCAGAGACTGTGATCTTCATAGAGAGGAGGAGATGAGATCCTTCATATTTCAGTAGTGGATTAATATTTGACAGGTTTTGTGCTGCCTACCTTAGCATTCATCCTCTCTATCTCCTTGGCACGATGAATCTTTCTCTCCTCAAAAATCTGTTCTCTTTTCTTTATCAACCACGACTTGAAGGCCTGCTCGTTCTCCTGTTTCTTTAGCTCCTCTTCCTCATGCTTCCTCTGCTCTGCCTGACAAGAAGAACGACAATCTACGTGAGAAAAAAGGTTACCAACGTCAGAACTGCAATACTGCAATGCAAATATCTACTAATTGATTTTTCATTTTTATTGTCGCACCTCTCTGGCAAGCCTCTCCTTCTTCTCCTTCATCTTCTGCAACAGGTCTTTTTGCTGTGGAGAGAGAGCATAGGTCGCCTTGGAAGGAGTTCCTGTCGCAGACTGCACTCGCCTCTTGCCGTTTCTCATCAGAATCATTCTCTGGCCTTGGGTGGCCGAATTGGGTCTGGCCGAATTGGGTCTGGCCTTGGGCCGAGTCGGAGGTCGCGGCGCTTTAAGTTGATCAGTGCCCAGTTGAAAGGAGGGTTGGAGGTGAGCAGACGTCTGTGTACCGTTACCTACATTATTTAATATTGGAGGGAGGAGACTCTGGCTCTCCATATCCTTCATACTAACAAGGTCAAACTTACCATCTTTTTCCACAAGCACTTTACTCTCCTTAGTTTCCTGAAGTCCTTCAACACTAGATCTTCTTAATTCCTTGCTGTCGTCATAAGGAGAAAGCGTTATCTTCTGTGATACCTCAGACTCTGCATCTGAAACCGTGGCTCTGTCCTTGCTGCTAATTTGTCCACTAGAGTCAATGATTAAGTTGGACAACATCCCTGACACCACCGATGCTGCACCTGCAATCAAGGCTCTCTCCTTTTCTTCATCAGTGTCATCGGAGTAGCTATCTGAAAGGGGTGGGGGCACCACCAGGTCCACCAGTGTGTCTTTAAAGTGAAGCCGTCTCTGTCTCGTCATATCTGGCGTGTCTTGTTCCTCTAGTTCCTTGTTGGCCTGCTCGATTTTATCCAAGATGTACATCTGTTCCTCATCTGTCTGCTCATCTGTCTCAGGAAAAGGTGATTCTGTATGTAGTGATGTACTCGCCTGGTCCATGTCATAGCCTAACGGCTCCATAGGAGGCGGCCACCTTTCTTCATCCTCTTCCACATGGTCTGGTTTTTGTTCCCCGTTTTCATTTCCTATCGCTTCTCCTGGGGTCTCTTCCTTCTCCAGCTCTTTGTCTATTTCTGCGTCTACGTCCCCATAGTCAGAGCCCTGTTCAGTAGATGAAACAGACATTCATTACTTATATTGTAATGTAGACAAAAGCCCAAGCACAACACTTAGACTTTGACAATCTGCTTGTGTGATAGCAGATATGTCTGATTGCTCATCAATGATGCATTGGGGAGTATCAGACTGAAAGTATGCCACTGCATGTGAAAAGCATTGGTTTCACATGCAAGCGGTGAGATGTGCCAGATTGTGTAACTTAACACTATTACCCATCACACGTTAAAGGAGCTCTTAATGACACATTCAGTACACGCAGAAGGGAACTCCGAACATACAGAGCCTTGCTGCAGTCGCATTCATACCGTTAGTGTCATTACAACCACAAATTTCATGGCATTTAGATTATAATAATTATGAAGTCAGAGAGAAATGATAGTTTACGAATACAATTTTGAAAAGTGTGTCACTTACATTAAAATGATGGGCAATTGTGTATTGTTTATCATTTTCATTGAAAATTGTGATACAATTTGTGATATATATATTGTGTTATGATATAATATAACTGATGATGTAACACGAAACATAATTCCTTATTTTTACCGTTTTTGCTCTTTGTTACATGAGAGCATTGGTGAACATCAGTACAGTCAAAAATACAATTAAATCTAATTAAATATCATTGCATGATGTATAGCAGTATATTTGCATTATTAAATTCATGTGGTCTTTTGTACATGTGTACATTTTATTTTTGAGAGTAGTATTTATATTTGCAGTTCCGTCAGCTCGCGGAATCAAAGAATCAATTCCGCGAGCTCTTGGTTGCTTTGACAGATGGTGTGGCAGCTGTAATGTGACAATATGTTGAAACCTCAAGAGGTATAAATACTTTTGCAGTACAATGTGGATTCACCCCAGAAAATAAAATGTATTGATGTCCCACAGAAAAGGAAAAAAGCAAGCAGTTGGTTACCTGTTCACTTTGGCCCTCCTCACTGATTAGCCAGTCAAGATCCTTTTCAAAGTCGTCTTCATAATCCTCCTGAGACTTGGGTGAATTTGCCTCAGTCATGATCTGCTGAAGAGAGACAAAAAGACAAAATGTTAAAGAAATTTGGCAATGATTTTAAGTTTTTTTTTTTTTTACAAATATAGCTAATTGTTTATGGCCATACCATGAAGCTGATCCACACTGGGTTTTAAGACATTCCTTAAAAGTAATAGGGAAAATCCCTTCGTAAGTTTTCGTTCCTGTTCCATAGTAAATATACATTTTGGCTGTACTGTATTGCAATGTAAATATATATCCTTATTTAAACCAAAATATGTTTTTTTTTTTGTATTTTATTTTTATCAGCATCTCCTAAAAATATAAGCACAAATCTAAGACACGTGTTTTATCACATGTGTAATAGATATGTGGTATACTGGATCATTCCAATACATTGGAGCCCGCTGGATGTAAACTACTGATAGCGGTCAGAGTGAAAAGTGCAATTAAAAATTCAGTGATCTAAGCAAATGGCTGTTAACATAAAGACGTCGTCTGAAGTACGAGACCAGGATTCAACCAGTGTGTGCTTCAATAAGCAAAACAAGAAAAACACTACAATTGTGCTGATGTTAATATGATATTTACTTAAAATGTGATGCATAGTTGTTTGGCAATGGCCATAAATAACTTATTAAATCGACATCACAGAGAAATAAAGACAAACTCTGTATATATTGTCTGTGATTTGTCGCCATCTGGTGAATAATAGGTGGTATTGCATAATTACTCAAACTTTATTTCTTTTTAAACTATAAATCCGAATCCCGTAGCTAAAACAACGGCTATATGTTTAATTTTAATTTGTGTAGTATTGTAAAGTGTAAGAATTTACAACACTGAACTCAATACAAGCAAAGACAAAAATATCCCCGTTAATCTGGTTTATTTTTATAGTTCTGCTAACAGAGATAAGTAAAATAGGAAAACTAAAAGTCGCGAGAGTAGCAATCAACACTGATCTTTTCCTCTTTCAGGCTAGACAGATATAGACAAGAGATTCTTACCAGATGAATGTTAGCTATTCCACTCACCAACAGGCTGCGCAGATACCTGCCGTCGATGAGTTAGGGAAATAAATTTATATTGTCGGATTGTTTCGATGTTATTTCTCCATTTTGTTGACCCACATACTGCGTAGCAGTCTGTATGTCAACACCTGCGATCATAATCTGGCCCGAGTCTCTTCAGCCTTAAAAGCTTTAATAGTCGTGTCGTCATGGCAACCAACAACACGCTTTACCAAAGCGCATGCGTACAAATACGGCCTGCTGTAAAGATACTATTATATTTCACACATAAGGGTCTATTCCGTACCTTTATGTGTTTTGAAAAGTTTAGTTACTTCGGTTTCATCTACGTTAAGCACATTGTACAGATTAATTACACACAGACTTATGTTTTCATATTTCTGTTGATTATAAATTTCCGCTAAACTAATGAAAACAGAACATTGATGATTAGAACATTGGGCTTCATGGATACCGTAGTATTTATAAAACATGCTTAGAAGTTGATCAAGAAAATCCGACAAAAGGAGTCTCACTATGCTAATACTGAATATGACTGTATTTAAAATTGCAACTAAAATATCAACTGCAGCTCTATATAAAAATCTAGATACATAGATATGGTAGATAGATATTTGGTATACTGGATCGTTTGAAATTTATCATTTACTAAATAAAAGGTTTAGTATATTACCAATCAAAAAAAAAAATTTACAGATAATATTAAATGTATGTCGATCCCCTTTTTAAGTAATCCGAGAAACGGGGAGCGCTTGACTTTTTTAATCATTACGTAAAACACTGGGCAAATGTGAAGTCCATGAACGTTACATCCGTTTCTAGCATACGGCATTCTGGGTCTTGTAGTTGTCATTTAACATTCTACTCTTTGTTATTCCCTCCTTGGACACGTTAGAACTACATTTCCCAGGTAGCCGTTATCAGTACCCAGAAACCACCCGCCCCTTTACTGGACAGTTTTTAAAACACGACTAATAGCACGTAGGCATGCAACTTATGACAGAGTCAAGAGTTGTTCCTACTCATTGATCAGTTATTGTTGTCACTTCACTGAAGATAGCAAAACTTAAGTGTTTTTCTTGAAAATGGCGTCCATCGTTCTTTTATCGGTAAAGCAGACGGCTCAGACCAAAGCAAAACGGTGTTTGGGTTCTCGATTAAAGGGTCTCGCAGGTGCTGGTGGCCCATCCGCGACTTTCCTTCCGGGAAGGGAATGGCTTTCCAAAGACTTGAACTTACGGTTCATGTCCCACGGGACCGCTGGTCGGTCTGCAGCCGGGACAACTAAAAGGGGAGCCCTGGCGTTTAGTGGTGCGGTGGCGGTGACCGCCGCAGCGGTGGCGGGCTTTCTGGCTAATGCTAATCACTTCCAACGGGCAGAGATGGCGACCACAATCCCCCAGAAGGCAAAGAAGAAGAAGGAAGAAGAGGGGGACATTGCGCAAAGATGTAGGGGCTTCATGTCGGTCCCAGTGACTGACATCAGTGTACTGGAGAAAAGGAAGGATGAGATGAGCACCAAGATGGAGATGCTGATCATGGAGACGCAGGCTGAGTTCTGCAAAGCCCTGGAGGAAGTGGACGGTGGGACATTCAAGGTGGACAAATGGCAAAGGAAGGAAGGTAATAAGGGAATCACTGGGGTAGCTAGTGGTTTACACTTCTCTAGCAGAGCATACAAATACAAACACTGCTCTTAAAGGGGCAGTAGTATGTAAAATTGACGTTTCTTTGCATCAGAAACATACTTGGAATGTTGCCTTGATTCTTTCATGCATGTTTGAAAAATCCTTTAGTCTCCAATGACAACCATTCAGCTGTGCAAAACGCATGGGCAGACCTAGCACCGCCTTCGAGGTCCAGCTCCTCCTCCAAGCTGCAGTTTCCAAGCTTCCCAGCTTCTGGCTCACTGAGCAGCCGTCCTCTCAGACTCCCCCAATAAGCTCCTTTAGACTGACCAGAAGCAATGAGCAAACACCTGGTGGAACTTAGCATCTGCTAACCTCATTATAAGAAATACTGCTCAGTGAAATGCTTGAAAAAAAGTTGTTAAAGGTTTAATAGAAGAACCATGTTGTGATGACTTCCTGAAGGTGGAGTTTCAGAAAGAGCAGAATCTTCAAGGTGTTTAAATTTTGAAGTCAACTTTCTTTTAAGTCATATGTGATATATATATAGCATTTTTTAACAACTGAAGCTACTTGATTGTGCTAAAAATTGCACAATGTGGCTTGAAAACACATAATACTTCCCCTTTTAATACTGTGGGAACATTTTGTAAATGCATGGAAGAGACAGGCATGCACTTGCAATATCAACAGATAAATGCATAAAACAACAAATTTTCACCATTTTGTTTGTTTTTAGGTGGTGGAGGAATCAGCTGTGTGATGCAGGATGGAAAGGTGTTTGAGAAGGCAGGAGTTAATGTGTCGGTGGTGTTCGGGTATCTGACTGAGGAGGCTGCGAAACAAATGAGAAGCAGAGGGAAAGTCCTCAAAGGGAAAGACGGTGGGTTCTGCTTAGAGTTATACTTTCTCCCTTCACACCTTCACTTCAGGTATCTAAAATAAAACTTGGCTCTGCTTTGCTTCAGGTAAGCTGCCATTTTGTGCCATGGGTGTGAGCTCCGTCATCCACCCCAAGAACCCTCACATACCGTCAGTTCACTTCAACTACAGATACTTTGAAATAGAAGAGGAGGATGGTGAGTCCCTTTTTAAAGTATCTGTGTCTTGTGGCTCTATTGACTTTGTGGATTAATGATCAGCTTTGTTTCTTCTCCCTGTTGCTTGTGTTGTGTGTGTGCGTGTGTGTGTGTGTGTGTGTGTGTGCTTTCAGGCTCCAAGCAGTGGTGGTTTGGTGGAGGAACAGACCTGACCCCGGTGTATATTGACAGAGACGACGCCTTTCTGTTCCACAACACCCTGAAGGAGGCCTGTGACAAACATCACCCGAAGTACTACGCAGACTTTAAAAAATGGTACAGCTCCATCAGTGACTCTGATGTGTCTTTGCACAGACAGGCTGATGTGTGTTTTTAGGACTGATTCCAGTGAATTTGTCTGGATGAATTACAATGGGTGTTCCCTCACTGCTGGTTGGTGATAAGAGGAAGTCTCTCCCAAAATCTACAGATGCAGAAGAAAACCGTTGAGCAATGCTAGAGGTCATAAATGACTAGTGTTAATGTGGACAGGAAGGGTGGGGAAACGATTTTTCAACATTTTGTTGTTTTCTGTTGTATAGATGGAAGAAAATGATATAGTATCTGTTCAGGTGGATGTGTTTGTTTTCCAGATAAAACCTTGACTTGAAGTTTTGTAAAGGTACCAACTTCCCTGTTCACTTTTTGTGTCCTCCAGGTGTGACAGGTACTTCTACGTCCGTCACAGAGGAGAGACCCGGGGCATCGGAGGAATCTTCTTTGACGACCTTGACTCCCCAAATCAGGAGGAGGCGTTCAACTTTGTTAAGAGCTGCGCTCGAACCGTGGTGCCCTGTTATCTTCCCATTGTGAGGAAACATCTTAATGATTCCTTCACTCAAGAGGAGAAGGACTGGCAACAGGTGCGACGAGGAAGGTGAGTGGAAAATGCATTATATCACAGCTGATGTGTTTTTGGGGTAAAGGAGTAAATTTAGTTGAATGGTGTATTTGAATAATAAATATGCAAATGCCATTGTAGAAATTAATTGTGAAGTTTAGCATTTCATATTTTAAAATTATAGCAAAGCACCATGAACTTTGGAAAGTTGAATTTGGAAAAGTCATTCAAAGCTTAATGTAGGAGCCCTGTAATATGAAGAGTCTGTTCTTTAGAGTTACAATTTTGTGTTGCAGATATGTAGAGTTTAACCTGGTATATGACAGAGGAGTAAAGTTTGGCCTTGCTACACCTGGCTCTAGAATCGAGAGTATCCTCATGTCGCTCCCCCTCACAGCCAGGTAAGTCATTGACTCTCCTGCTCTCTGTCCAATAGTAATCAGCCGTCTGTGTTGCCTAGTAATCGACTGCTCCTTCCTGTCCAGGTGGGAGTACATGCATGAGCCTGGTAAAGGTTCCCGGGAGGCGGAGATGCTGGAAGTACTCAGAAACCCAAAGGAGTGGGTGTGAGCGCCGCAATCACAAGTTTACAGAAACAACCTTTGTAGTATTTTGTAAAGCTGTAACCTGTTTTACCAGACCTGCGTTTATAAGGAAATATCAGGTTTCATCAGTTGTCTGAGGACTTTATTTGCACTGTTAATTTTCCTTCCTTCATGTATTTTCAAATCAGCCTTTTAAAAGCTTTAAGGATAATGTTTAAGAATTGAGTTTTGTGCCATTTGTCTCTTCTTAGTTGAATGAATCACATAAATTACCTTCATAGATTTCCTGCTTATAGATCTGTATCTTTTTTACTCATAATGGCAACCATAATTCTTTTCCTTTCTCTTATTTTTTAATATTCCTGTGACTTGAATTAGTCCTCTAATCTTCTCATGTATTTATTGAAGCACTGAAAGGGAAAAGGACAAACTGAATGTATGTGCTTTTACCACTGATGTACCAGAAACAATAAATCAGATTTTGACATATCCCTATGTGCTCTAAACATTTAATTTTGTTTGATCAATCATCCCTAAAAAGCAAGAATAAGTTGAAGCTGCAGGGAAGTGGTGTGCTAAATTATATAATGGATTTATCTGAGTTACCCAGAAGTGGGAAAAAATGTCAGTCCAGTGCGTTTGTATAAATGTTTCTCTCCACCTCTTGCATTAATTTTCATAGTGTACAATCCCCCATAATTTATAATTTAAAAGAGCTGTTGAAAGGATTTAAATGTAACATTGAGTTGATTGTCCTGGGTGTCTTTAAGTTTAATTGGATGGATAATTGAGAATGCAATTCAAGAGAATTTCCAGCAAAATTTATGCCAGCTTACTGACATACCTTGTATTATATTAAACATAAAAATATTAATTTGCAAAATCCTAAGAATTTTGTACCCAAATGTGACACAGAACTGGCAAGAGTTCATTGGGATGATGTTGGTCCTTAATGAAGTAAATGAGTGTTATGTTTACTTTATTAGTAATTCTGTGAACAAGTTCCTTTTAAGAGTACATTTGCCAACTCGGCACCTCCGAAGCGCGCAACAGCCACCAAGGGATGGGGTTTAATAACTGAGTGAGTAATTTAGAACTTCACTGCACAATATTTCTTATATCTCCAACATCTAATCTACATCCACCTAAACGATTTAATCCATCATGTTATTTATGTTAAATGTAGCATGATGGGTTAAAAAATTATTTAATCAATGTCATGTTTCCATTTTATTTCCTTAAAACTTTTCAGCTGTGATGACCGCATTATGTTATGCTAATGTGAGATTACAATCTAAAGCAGATGTCACTGTGTAAAAAATAAAAAAAACCAATGCAATACCAACGTTCACTTACTCAGTAGCATTTTGCATATTAAACGTTATCTGGAGAGTGACAGCCACAGTCTTCAAGTCACCTTTAGAGGTTTCCCCATACACGCCAACTGGCTTAAGTTCCACTCTAAAATTTCCTGGTGAAAACTAAAACCATTTATCGATGCATGCAGTGACTGAGTCCGAGAAATCCAAAATGTCTTGTTGTTTGGACCTCAAAACAGAAACTTCTTTGCCCATGAGTTGATTGGCGTGTTGTCCAAAATGTTTTCCTCCTTCCGCTGAACCATCTTCATTCTGAAACCGCACACTTCCTCATAAACATCTGTGATGCACAATTTTGTTTTTCCCAGTTTTTGTTTCTTTACAAGCTGATCAAAAGCACAACCAATGTTTTGGAAAAACGGATACTGAGACACAGTTATAGATCTTGACTTAATATCAGCTGACAGCTGATGACAGGCGTGCTTGCAGGCCTTGTGAGTGATGCCAGGCAGTCTGCTTTCAAATGTGATCAGTGGCATTTCTTAATAGCTGGTAACCAGAGTGGTGCTGTTCAAATGTGACATTAGCAATATTCTGTGACATGCCCAGCTTCTTAAATTATCAAGTCACAGAGAAATATCTCACAGACACTGAAAATATTTTGCTGCTTCCTTGGTGTGAGACAGCTGATAAATGTACTGGGTCACCTCGAGATGGAGGTCTTGCAAAACATCCCCCCCCCCCAACCTCTCCCAAGTCGTTAATCCTAAAATATTATCATTTCAGTTTTAGTTCTTCACATCTTATGACTAGGAGGATGTGAAAACATTTTCATTGATATTAAACTGAGGAGGGATTAGACTGAAATGTGTTAAATTTAAAATCCCCTATCGTTGAGTTTTTAAAGTGTTTTCTGTTTGCACATTATGTACATTTAAAGATAAAATCTGACAACTTACATCTCTGTTAGATCTGTCACAGTCTTGAAAAAAAAAACACGTTTTTTTAAGTATTCCAAAATTATAGGTCCAAAAATTAGTAAAAGTAGATACTTTCTCAATTCCTTGTGGGAAATTGTTTGGTTTCAGCAAAAAATAACTACATAAATTATATTTAGTGTATGACATGGTTAAAATTCAGAGGTGAAAATAGGTGCTTTATAAATTGCTGCTATGCTTCTTTTAAAGCACAAACAACACAATGCAGTATATGCATACTGCTGTATGTTGTATTATAGGCCTTGACACATTACTGCTTTTCCCTATTCACTATAGTTTTTCATGTTTGTTTGTGTTGTAGCTATGTAGAGTTTAACCTGATGTATGACAGGGGAATAAAGTTTGGTCTTGCCATGCCTGGCTGCAGAGTCCTCATGTCGCTCCCCCTCACTGCCAGGTATGTCATCGACTCTCCTGCTCTCTGTCCAATAGTCATCAGCCGTCTGTGTTGCCTGGTAACCGACTCCTCCTTCCTGTCCAGGTGGAAGTTCATGCACAAGCCTGTTAAAGGTTCCGTGAGGCGGAGATGCTGGAAGTACTCAGAAACCCAAAGGAGTGGGTGTGAGCGCCGCAGTCACAGGTTTACAGAAAGAACAACCTTTGTAGTAATTTTGTAAAGCTGTAACCTGTTTTACCAGATCTGCGTTTATAAGGAAAAGTCAGGTTTCATCAATTGTCTGAGGACTTTACTTGCACTATTAATGGCCTTTCCATCATGTAATTTCAAATAAGCCTTTTTAAAAGCTTTAAAATAATTTTTGTAATTGAGTTTTGTGCCACATTTATCTTCCTAACAGAATCAATATTAGTACATTTTCCTAGAAAAATATTTTTTTATTTTCTTTCAATTTGCCAATGACTATAATTAATTTTCTCATATTTGTTGAAGCGCTGTGCTTTTGTGCTTTTACCACTGATGCTCCAGTAACAATAAGTCAGATTTTTGATCTATACCTATCTGCTATAAACATTTAATTTTGAGCTTGATCAATCAAAGCTAAAGAACAGGAATAAACATTGTGTCATTCTGTCTTATGTGAACAATGACTCCACTTTCTTTGCTTGAGCAGAGGTGTAAACAACACCACACTTTGGTTCTGGGTCATGTTTCAGAGGATTATTGTGAATCAATGAAAACATAAGACACATACATTGAGCTTTCTTTAGCATCGAACAGGAAGGTTTATTCTTCTTCTGTGTAATGAACATGCTCCATATGCAGTATATGGTTCTCTAGTTTTTGCAGTAACCTAAAAATAAGCGTCAATTTTACAAATAAAAAGACCAAAATAATGTTCTTTGTGTGACAACCGTCTCCGAATGTGCAAAACACAACAAATTCAAAGTGAACTCAAGAGTCCCTGAGCCAGCTTTATTCGACAACCTGTTCAACTAATATGCATGCATCAAAATACATTTTTACTTACCTGCGGTATAGAAAAGAGGAGACACACGTAGAGATTCATTTAGCATCTAACAAGGTTTTCTATGCCACCAATGCGGGAGGCGCCCCCAAGCGTTTATATGTGAAATCGTTCTGAATAAATGAAACAACACTAATGAACTTAAAAAAATTAAGAATTGAAAAAGTAAAATAATCTTTTACTGAAACACTAAAGAACTTAAAAAAATTAAGAATTGAAATAGTAAAATGATCTTGTGGTACCTATTTTCATACTTAGTGTTTTCATTTACTTACCGTAATACTTTTTTTTTCACCCCTCTTCCTATGCTACAGCTTAAACCTGTTTTATTACACATGTTTGTCTTTTTTAAGTTTAAAGTCTGTTTCTATGTTGCTACAACTGACTCAGACCAGGGGACGTTTTGGAGCCAACAAAGTCCTTTGAAAGCAAACGACACTCACTGGCACCAAGACATTGTGTGGAAGCTGCAAAGAAACAGAAGCATCATCTATCTAGGGTGATCTGGGACCCAACACGCAACCCAAGGCATTTTTAGATTATTCTCGAAGCATCATACCTAAATGAGAGGAAATAAAAACACTGTTAACCTGGATTTTCTATGTCCAAGTGAAACCTGGTTAACTGATAATATCCCACTGATATACCAGAATGTAAGCGGTTGGGAAAGACAATTCTGTAGGGGAGAGAAGGCGTGTGCTCATTTATATGATGGATTTATTTAAGAGTGTTACCTGTAAGTGAAAATATATCAGTGCAGTGTGTTTGTATAAGTGTTTGTCTCTCCCTTTGCATAGAATTTAGCATAATTAATTTAGAAGAGCGTTTTAAAAGGATTTACATATAACACTGAGGTGATTGTCCTGGGTGGCTTCAGTATGGATAACAAATTGAAAGCAGCTCAAGAGCATTGTCAGCAAAAATTTGGGTACAGTCAAATTTTAAGCGTAACTGGTAAGAAGTTATGGGGATGACGTTTAGATCCATAACCAGACAATTGAGTGTTGAATCACATTTACTTTCAGTGTTAGTCATTCTGTGAACAAGTTCCTCAAAAAGAAAAAAAAAACAGGTACAGAAAACAACCCAGCTGTCATGGTTGTCAGATGACATATGACAATTACTGGAAAAAAAATAATTACGGCCTAAAAACTTCTCAGAAATAGCAAAATAGCTGTTTTGCTCATCTTTAGCAATCTGAGCAATTGAGTGATAAAAGAACATTTAAAATCGAAAGCTAAATATGATAAAAATGTCCTTTCAGAGGCAAGAGATGAGTAAATGATCTGGAAACAACTAAGCAACTTAATAAATCCTAGTAATCGTACCAATTTCAATCATGAATTGACAATGGTAGGGGAAAAATGCTGCTCAGTTTAGCAACATATTTAATGACTTCCTCAATTTATTGGTTAAAGATTTAATCATAGTTTAATAATTGTCCCTCTTGTCATGTCAAAGGTGTTGGAGAAGATATTTCGAAACTCTTATCCTTTGGTTTCCCAGAACGATGGTGTCTTGTTTTGACATATCAAAATATTGTGAACGACGTGTCATTCTGAATTTCCTCTTTGTGAGACAATGAAGGCTGTTTCTGTTTCTATTTATCAATTACAGTAAATATTATTTCATCAAAAATATAAACTGGAATCCCTCCAGGAACTACTATCGGTCCCATCCCAAATCTTTCAGGGAGATTTGTCTCCCGGGATGTCACCGTGCAATATTTCTCAAATAAAAAATAAAAAAAATTGTGTCATCCACCTAAAATAGATATAATCTTGTTCATGTTATTTGTCCATGTTAAATGTAACATGATGGATTAAAAACAGGATTTAATCAACTCCATGTTTTTATTTTATTTTCTTACAACTTGTCAGCTGTGATTACCGCGTTAAACAGAATTAAGACTTAAAGCAGACATTTCCATGTAGATAAATTTAAAAACAAATGCAATATCAACTTGCACTGTCACTCAAAAGTATTTTATTTACTAAATGTTTTTTAAAGAGCTGCATTTCACTAAGGATAGTGATCCCCTTTACAAAGGAGATCTGAAAAATCTACACCTTTCACAAATATTTCTTACTACTTTAGGGTCTCAAGCTGTTTTTTTTTTATTATTTTTTTTTTTACTTTTGCACAACCTGGAAGAATTATGTGTGAGACAGTTCATAGAACTTTGCAGCTCATTTTTGATCAGGTCTGTGCTGCGTCTGCTCCTCAAGTCTGAACATTTACTGTGCATCAAAGAAAAAAAAAATCTCTCGACAAAAGCATTTGAGCCTGACAATAAGAGCAAATGAAACAGTCTTAATTGTTTGGCAATGTCTTTTCTGATGCTAGGAGACACTGTCATCGTCTTCTTGATCTTCTTGGTTTTTGTAGCATAACATCTTACTTTCTGTAGTTTTTTTTGTTTTTGCTACAACAAAGCTATTTATAGAGCTGATTCTTGTTAATTGTCAATTGTCTTTGCCATTTGGAGAGTCGCAGAAGTCACTGCAGAAGGTTTCCCCGTACAGGTCAACTGGCTTCAGTTCCACTTTAAAATGTCCTGGTGAAAACTAAAACCATTTATCCTCGCATGCAATGTCTGAGTCAGAGAAATTCAAGAAGTCTATTTGGACCTCACGACAGGAACTTCTTTGCCCATGAGTTGCTTGCTGTGGTATCCAAAATAATGTCCGCCTTCCACTGAACCATCTTGATTCTGAAACTGCACACTTCCTCATAAACATCTGTGATGCACAATTTTGTTTCGGAAAGAACTTAATAAAATCAACATAGACACAGTTTTCCTGTATTCTCAAAAGTCTGTTTTAGCGGCACAGGGCAGGTAAACCGAGAGATGATGAGCAGACAAAAGTAATTTTAAAGGAATTTGCTTAATATCAACTAACAGATGACTGTGAGTAATGCCTGGCAGTTTGCTTTCAGATGTGATTGGCATTTCTTAATAGAGTGCTGTTGTTTAAAGATGGCAGTAGCATTATTCTGTGACATGCTAGGTCTTCTAAAAATGCTTTTCAGACAGTTTATCAAAGCTTTATGGATTGACGCCATTTGCTGTTTCATCGCCATCTTCATAAAAGTACCTCCATTAGTCACAGTGAAATACTGAAAGTATTTTTCCTCTCTCTCTCTACTCTTACGTCTGACAACACATGGCAAATCAGTAGCTGTATTTGTGTCAGTATTCTGCTAATGTCGAAAAAACACAATATTGCTACCGAATTCTTTGCATTTAATGAGAAAAGCAATTAAAGCCACACATGAATGAGTTTTATCAAAATGATTATTTGAAGTCATTAAAGCAAAGTGAGTCTAAAAAGCCACGCCCACAGAACCATCTGCCTGTGCTATAAATTCATCTGGCCAACAGTCAATTTATCATACAGGATCACTGGAGTTTCATTGAGCAGAGATGGCGACCAAGATCTCCCACAACGCGAAGGAGGAGGAGGAAAAAGAAGAGAGCATTACGGAAAGATGCCGTGGCTTCCTGACTGCACCAGTGACCGACATCAGTGTGCTGGAAGAGAAGAAGGACGAGATGAGCACCAAGATGGAGATGCTGATCATGGAGACGCAGGCTGAGTTCTGTAAAGCCCTGGAGGAAGTGGACGGTGGGACATTCAAGGTGGACAAATGGGAGAGGAAGGAAGGTAATACGGGGACCTTCAATGGTTTAATCTAAAAATGCGAATACTGCTCTTAAAAATAAAATTTACTTAAGTTTGTTGTCAATCTCAAGCAGATAATTTCAGATTTGACCAACCTTTCATTTGAAAATCCTTCAGAGCTGTTTTCAGATCATTTGTTTCTGCTGTAAAGAAATATACCAACATCTCATAGCATTTCTGTGCAGAGCACCCAGATTTACAGTTTCTTTAATGAAACACTTAAATTACAACTACTAGATTATATGTCAGACATTAAGAAACAGCTAAATGATCATTACTTTCAATTAAAGTCAAACTGACTCAGTTACAAACTGCAGGGGCTTCCAAACTGCATCAGTAGAAAAATAGACATGACTTCTTTCTCTACAGTGATCAATCTCCTGACTGTCCCTATTTCCTTTGTCACATAAGTTTTTAGTTTGTTTGGTTTCGTAATATAAAGTATTTCTTATTGTTATCCTACTTCATTGTGCCTGTTCTCTTTCTCATTATGACTCACTGTGATTATCATCTCTGTAAGATGCTCTTCACAACAGCTTAGGCTTTTTACAAAAAGCATTTCCAGTAGCTCTGGATTTCAAGATTTTTCATAGATTCACAGAAAGAGACAAGCAATATATTCGGACATAAATGCTTATAACAACTAATTTTTACTATTGTTTTATATTGTTTTTAGGTGGAGGAGGAATCAGCTGTGTGATGCATGATGGAAATGTGTTTGAAAAGGCAGGAGTGGATGTGACATTGTTGTTAGGTTGTCTGACTGAAGAGGCTGTGAAACAACTGAGTGGAGAAAAAGTCCTCAAAGGGAAAGACGGTGGGTTCTGCTTATAGCTTGCATGTGACTAGATGTAGTGTCCATTGTATCCCACAAGTACAGTTGTACTTTCTGCCTGGAAACCCTCATTTGAAATAAAACTTGGCTCTGCTTTGCTTCAGGTAAGCTGCCATTTTGTGCCATGGGTGTGAGCTCCGTCATCCACCCCAAGAACCCTCACATACCGTCAGTTCACTTCAACTACAGATACTTTGAAATAGAAGAGGAGGATGGTGAGTCCCTTTTTAAAGTATCTGTGTCTTGTGGCTCTATTGACTTTGTGGATTAATGATCAGCTTTGTTTCTTCTCCCTGTTGCTTGTGTTGTGTGTGTGCGTGTGTGTGTGTGTGTGTGTGTGTGCTTTCAGGCTCCAAGCAGTGGTGGTTTGGTGGAGGAACAGACCTGACCCCGGTGTATATTGACAGAGACGACGCCTTTCTGTTCCACAACACCCTGAAGGAGGCCTGTGACAAACATCACCCGAAGTACTACGCAGACTTTAAAAAATGGTACAGCTCCATCAGTGACTCTGATGTGTCTTTGCACAGACAGGCTGATGTGTGTTTTTAGGACTGATTCCAGTGAATTTGTCTGGATGAATTACAATGGGTGTTCCCTCACTGCTGGTTGGTGATAAGAGGAAGTCTCTCCCAAAATCTACAGATGCAGAAGAAAACTGTTGAGCAATGCTAGAGGTCATAAATGGCTAGTATGAATGTGATCAAGATGTGCCAATTTTTTTCAGAATATAGATTATATTAGATAAACTTTATGGTCTCCAAGGGACAACACTAACTGGGACAAATTAACATTTATTCGTCTTTGTGTTACATTTAGTTGCCTTGAATCTACAATCAAAAGAGAACAACATAAAATGGTGATGTTGTCTTCTGTTGTATAGATGAAAGGAAATTATTATGCAGTAGCTGTTCAGGTGAATCTGTCTGATGTTTTCCCAGATAAGTCTTCAAGTTGGAAAGTTAACAACTTCCCTGTTCACTTTTTGTGTCCTCCAGGTGTGACAGGTACTTCTACGTCCGTCACAGAGGAGAGACTCGGGGCATCGGAGGAATCTTCTTTGACAACCTTGACTCCCCAAATCAGGAGGAGGCGTTCAACTTTGTTAAGAGCTGCGCTCGAACCGTGGTGCCCTGTTATCTTCCTATTGTGAGGAAACATCTTAATGATTCCTTCACTCAAGAGGAGAAGGACTGGCAACAGCTGCGACGAGGAAGGTGAGTGGAAAATGCATTATCCATGCATTGATTCATCCATTTTCTTACACCCTTGTACCTAGTGGGGTCGGGAGGGGTGCTGGTGCCCATCTCCAGCTACATATTTCGGGTAGGAGGTGGTCGCCAGTCCATCACAGAAAATTGATTGTAGCACTCAAATCCCTAAAATGAATTCGTATCCCTCAAAACTGATAGCTTTTAGGATAAAGGAGGCATGTAGTGTAATGCTTTTTATTTGTCAAGGGGATATCCTGTTGTCATCTACAGTTATCAATATGAATTTTGAATCAATTTGAGGATGTTAATTATTTATTTAGTCCTCTCTTTTTTTCTTCTGACATTACAATAATTTACTTCAATTAACTTTTGCAGCAAGAATGGGAGGGTGTTTGAATTTATGGTGGATTTTCTCAAACTCACACTGGTTTAAAACAATATATACAGGTTCCAGTTAATATATAACCCCTCTACTAATGTTTGCATAAAAAGGGGAGAGGATATTAAGGACTTTGTAAACATTAAAAGATTACTGTACAATAGTATCAGACACTTTTGTCTGGTACTTCCTTCCTACCTTCTTTTTTCCCTCCACCCTCCTATCGTTTTTATTCTTCCTTCCTTCAAATCCGCCTGCTGTAGAAATTCATAGTGACGTTTATTATTTTAAATTTAACAATAAATCAAAGCACTGTGATCTTCGTAAGTTGAATCTGAAAAATTAATTTCCAGTTTTTGCATTATAGATGTGTAGGAACTCTGTAATGTGAAGAGTGTTTTTAAAATGTATATTTTGTTTGTGTTGTAGCTATGTAGAGTTTAACCTGATGTATGACAGGGGAATAAAGTTTGGTCTTGCCATGCCTGGCTGCAGAGTCCTCATGTCGCTCCCACTCACTGCCAGGTAAGTCATCGACTCTCCTGCTCTCTGTCCAATAGTCATCAGCCGTCTGTGTTGCCTGGTAACCGACTCCTCCTTCCTGTCCAGGTGGGAGTTCATGCACCAGCCTGGTAAAGGTTCCCGGGAGGCGGAGATGCTGGAAGTACTCAGAAACCCAAAGGAGTGGGTGTGAGCGCCGCAATCACAAGTTTACAGAAACAACCTTTGTAGTATTTTTGTAAAGCTGTAACCTGTTTTTACCAGACCTGCGTTTATAAGGGAATATCAGAGGACTTTATTTTTTCAAATCAGACTTCTTAAAAGCTTTAAAAATATTGTTTTAATAACTGAGCTTTGTGCTATTTGTCTCTTCCTGGTAGAATCAATATTTAATGTACTAAATATTTTAATTTTGTGTTTGAACATTCAGAGCTAAAAAGCAGGAATAAACTGAGTTCTATATACGTTGTGTTATTCTGTCTGATGTCTTAGCTTTCTTTATTTGAGCGGAGTTGTAAACAATACTTTGGTTTTGGATCGTGTTTCAGAAGACGATTGTGAATCAATGAAGCTTTTTGTCCTGAACTTTATCTCAAATCTATTTTATTGCAGTTTAATGTATTGGAGCAACATAAAGTTGCTATTGTCTTATTGAAAGGTAAATCTCCTCCCTAGAGGAGCCTCAGAGGCACTAACACTACTATTTCTGAAATTAAATGTAAAGTACTCAATAATAAAAAAATAAAAATCCATTGCGTATTTTATATTTTCTAGGCTCTGCAATTACAAGATGAAGTTAAGAGAAGTGCAGATTTTTTTTTTTTTCATTAAACTTTGTGTAGTTTCAAAACCTGGTACAGATCAGTCACAAGAAACCGTCTTTTAATCATTTTTTTTATTAAAAATTAATATCAAGCTTTTCACAAGACAAGAATTTATAACAACTTCCCTTGTGTTTAATTTTATATAACATTTTGTTTAATAAGGCGTTGTAAAAAACAGCTCTGTGGAAGTATCGGTACACTAACTTATGTAACCAAAGTGACTACCAGCGCAGTCCAGTGTCAGAGCAAATGCCAAGGTTTACAGGTCAACTCACATACAAGTACAACGATATTTAGTGCTTAAGGTGTGCGCCGTGTGGAAAGGTCAGCGACATTTATTTTTGCCAATGAAGGTTAGACGGGTACATTTGGTTTTTAGAGTGCTTATCGTTTAGGAAATATTGCATATAGATCAGAAGCACCTAGAGTAACATCGGCTTGTTGAATTAGAACTTTCCTACCTTTCATTAAACACTTCTTGTTAAGCATAGACACTTCCTGTTAGCCTCACTGCTTACTGTAGTACAATCACATTAGTATCAACGCACTTAATGAACTCCTATGCATAAACAAAATCAATCTTATTTAACTTTCAGACATATTCTATACACATATACAGTATGTAGAGGTGATTACACATGCTAAACGTGGAGTTTAGTTATAGTGACACTTGGTACAAACTCTTTTCTTACATTTAATTTCCTGACAGCTCCAGAATCTCATTTCTTTTGCCCATATTTCTTCCTCTTGAGCAGAAACCCACAGGTTAATGAGGGTTAGTGAGGCCTGACTGTCAACAAACAGCGCAGAGATGTTTATGACCTGAAAAGGCCAGGTTCATGCATTACCAAGATTATAAGTAATGTGATTCCCACTTTACTTCCTCCTTTTTATGTTCCAGTCTTCAACATATTTTTAAGGTTGGATTAGTGCATTTGCTGGAAAAAATAAACCATTTCAACCTACATTAGAGCAAGAAATCGGAGTGCTGTTGGTACGGTGTAAAGTATTTTGAAGTGTTAACTTCTTCTTTGTATTAGGGTCTATAATTATCTATTACAAAATGTGACGGGCTGCTTCTCATTTACAGTCAGCACAAGCAGAAAAGCCACCAGAAGAGTTTCAGAAGATAAAAGTTGGGAAAAACTTCTGACTTTTACGTCGTTGCTTTCCTTCCCTTAGACAAATAACTGCACAGTTCAACAGCCTGGAAACTGAATGAGAGAGAAAAACCTTAAAGCACAGTCACAGACACATTTCTATGCATCCCTGGCAAAGTTGTGTAAAAAGTCATACAATAATTATTGCTAGTCAATGCAGTAGCACAATGTAACACTGAAATATTAAGAAGAATCTAACAATTAAATCAAACCATTTAGCAGAGGGGGGAAACATTTACTCGTATTAAAATCAATAGAAAACTGTAAGTGAAGCATTTTACGTTAAATGAGGGGGTTCCTAATTGGTAATCCATACCTATTTCTCTGGGATAAAAACATAATTTGACGCAGAGACCCATTACCTTTTGTAACTGGCAACTAAGCTTATGGGAGACCCATATTTATTGTCTTGGTAAAATTTACAGTTAGAGAAGTGGAGCAAAGAGGGACACGTTAGGGTTGTCAGTCTCCATAACAATTACTAGAGTCTATTTACATGTAAACTGGTTGAGAGCGATGCCAAAAACAATGCCTTTCCTGTCATAAACACTCCTGTTGGTACCAAGTCATCAAGGACACTACAGAACCTAAAGTAAAACTGGACTTCTTACCTTCACTGACACAAGAATTTCCCTGTCTTATGTAACAGTGTGTATATTGCTAGTTGCTTTTGGGATTTTACCAGGAGCTTAGATCAGATAAGACTGAGATTAAGGTTTTTTTTTGGCAAAAAAAAAACAAAAACCCAAAAACAATAAGGGTAGGTTTGAAGTAAAGCACGTCAGAGCTTCGACACACATTCTGCACATTCTTTTACACACCATTCCTAACGGTGGACAGTCTGGGAATCTGTGGGTCCGTTTCACATTTCTCCCTCTGTGTGCTCCAAGCGTGTATGTGGTAGAAGATTATTACCCCATCAACCAACTGCTAAGATTTTTACATACACATCTCACTCAACAGTTTTACCAGTTAAAGTGGCTTGCCATCGACTTTAAAGTTCCTCCTTTTTACTGTAAGAATATTACATGGACAAGCACTGGCTTATCTCCCTATTTCCCTGCCAGGTCCCTGAGGGGCTCTATCCTTAAGCATTTTTGGACTCTGGTATCTCTTTTAAAAATTAGCACATTTTCAAAATTTTATTTAGGTAATTTCCTTGTGTTTTCTATATATGTGTTTTATTTGATGTTTGTGATTTATACTGGCACCAGAGGTACCACTAGCTGTGCAATCAGAGGTTATGATAATAATTATCTCTTAACTTTTTTTCACACTGAATAAATATACTCAAATTAAATGTTAAATTTTTCTCAATCTTGTATTGCTAGGTTATTGTGCTGGAATGAAATGTGCATTTAAAGCTTTTTACACATCTTTACCAGGGCTTATTGCATTAACCAAGATCGCGTAACCCAACACAAGGTCCAAGTCCTCTCTCAAGTCCTCTCTCAAGTCCTCTCTCAAGTCCTCTCTCAAGTCCTCTCTCAAGTCCTCTCACATGTCTGGCTCTGTATGTGTTTGGACAAAAAACAGATATCTAGATACGAAGGAAAAGAAAAGTTGAAATAATGTATTTTTGCCTGCTTAAGTCTCAATAGTTTGGCACTGATCCTCTGAGAAGCATCAATCCAACCCTCATTATTCGCTGGTCTGAATTATAGCAATAAAACCCTTTCATCCTTCACATGAGGTGTTGTTTGGTTTTGGCATTACAGTATCACTTAATCCCTTATGCATTACTTCACCTCGATGATGAAAAGGTTAGTGCAAATTTCAACGGAACTGGCACCGGTAAAGTTTGCATCAGTCCACTGAAATGTGTGTGCTTGCTGCGTGTTGAATGTTGAAGGCTGGTGATACCACAGTAGAAACACTGCTAAACAATAACATGGTCTTCACGTAGGTCAGGGCTTTAGTTTGAGACGTGTTCACTTCCTTTGACCACCGCTGATTCTACCGGAGCTGGAGTTCACTATGTCTTCATACTGAGGAGGCGGCTCTGTCTCTATCTGGACATCTGTGTGGCCCACGGCCTCTTCATATGACGGCGGCGGATCTCCTGCGCTTCCTCTCCCCAGCGTGATCTCGGAGCCTGGATAGGCCGGGCTGCTGTGGATGCTGAGTTCTGACTGGTCACCATGATGGTAGTCCCTCCCCCACTGGTCCATGGAGACCACCGACAGGACGTGGTTATGATGCGAGTGCCCCAGGCCCGGGCTGCGCTGCGAGCGCTTGCGGGAGTGGCAGCGCCAGGCAGTGATGGCGACGGCGATGACGATAAGCCCGACCAGCAGCAGCGGCACGATCAGGTAGAGAGATTGGGCCCCGCCGACCATGGAGTCCAAACCACCGGGTGGACTGCTTTCCCGGACATATTCCTCCCAGAATCGCTTCTGCATGTTAAGAAAGAGACGAGAGTTGACGAAGTCCACAATGAAGTCTGACTCAAAGGAAACCAGAGAGTCGCAACAAATCGTCCCGTTTCCTGTCTGAATAGTTTTTGCAGGAAAACAAAGGGAGGCAACAACAATCCCTAAACAAAACGAGAACACATAGCTCTCTGGCCCCTCACAATGGCTTTACATATCCGCCTGCCTGTCTAGTGTTGCTCTTCCTGCTGATAAACATCACTTCCTGAAAAAAAAAAAAACACCCACATTCCACAAAACAAACACTTTGGTTTCAGGATTTCACTGCTGGACACAAAATCACGACAAATAAAATAAAAAATAAAAAAAAAACTAAAAACTTTTTTTTTCCTTTAACATTATGTGACTGATTTAGGTTATACAGTCAAAATAATATTGATTTATGGATTTAAACTCCAGGTTTAAACACTGGAGCTAAAACTGGCTTCTGTAGATTTCTGCCCTGTCTAAAATGTCTAAAAATGTGGAAATTGAATCAAAATGTTCAATGGTGAACTGTCTTCAGTTTTCAGAACCATACGCAAAACTGATTGCAATGAGACTTTAGTAAAACATCCAGAAAAATAGACTGCAGATGCACAAAGCAGTAGGAATTACCCCTCACCCAATAATTAAAGCAGCTTTACCCTAAAACACAAGTAAACTTCATCCTGTCGGTTCTCTAAATCCACATAAACCAGACCATAATTATCTTTGACTGCTGCTGTAAAGTAGGATCACTGAAACACAGTTTTGAGGCTTTCGTGTTGCTTCATCTTCAGTCTTTTAGGTTAATGTTTGATTTGAACACATAACTTGGAGAGTTGACAGACACGCATGGGTAAGAGCCCACAGCTAATCTAAACAATGCAGTTTAAAAAAAAAAAAAAAAAGCAAAGCATGCACCATGCCTACTTTGGTAAGAATAACAAGAAACCTTATTAAAATTGTTCAAAGGAGAAAAAAAAGAATACACTTTAAAATATTCAGCTTTTATACAAATTCACCAGTGAACAGCAATTGTATTTCATCCTGCATAATACTAATGTAATTTAATTGTTTAAAAAAATATTCATACATAGCTGATTAGTTTGTGTCAGAACTTTTTGTTTGAAATTAATGACTTCCTATTTTAATGTGGAAAAAATAAGAAACGGAAAAAGTTAATAAAAAAAATAATAATTACAGTTAAAGCAATCTCTAATAAGTGTTTTAAAGAGCTGGGGTATAGAAACAAAATGTATCTTTCCACCATGCACAGAAAAGATGTTAAGGGAGGTAAAAAAAAAATAAAAATACCAAAGCTTGCTGCCAGAGAACTGCAGCTAACAATGGCCCTTTTGAGTACAACAAGTCACCATGACGACGACTGCAAGCCATCTACATGCCAACAGGCCGTTGGGACCAACGCCAGAAGAGGACATTTTTATGTCCTACCATAATTAATGTAAATGTGTGACATTTCTGAAACCCTACCAGACAGAACCCTGTGCTTCGGTCAGATGAGAGTAAGGTTGGACTTTTCATCATCTTTTCACTGCTGGTTGGTTTAGTGAGAAACCAAGTGGAATCTCAGGCATCCCATGCCCACTGTTAAGCATGGTAGAAGATATGTAATGATGTGGGCCTTTCTCGCTGCCAAATATTCAAAGACCCATGTTAACAAACATGGCATTGTGAACACGTTGATAAAGCCAAACCTTTTATCCAAAACAGAAGGACAACTCCACACGTTCTTCCAAGACCAACACACTACGAAATAAAGATGTGCTCCAACTTTATGATTAATTTTTAACTAAAGACACAAAGCCTGTTCTACTCATAAGAGGGGGTAGTGCAACTTCCTTTTTACAGCAGAGGAAGTGATATTTGTGGGAAAGGTGATTTTGCGCTCTTTTTTTTTTTTCTCACCAGAATAAACAAATCAAACCTAAGGTGAGAAATTTCCAAACTTTCTGTGCGAGACTATGCTACCACAAAAAAAAAACAAATGTGTTTGTTTCTACATCTTTAAATAATCCTGAAAGATGATGATGTTCTCAAACAGAGAAAATTGGCAAGTCTAAAGTGTAATCACTTATCTAAAAGCACGTCAATACGTCAAAGATAAAACCAATCTCCTGTGACGTCTCTCATCTGCCATACCGTCTTCTCGTCGTTCTCGAAAGCTTCCCGGGCCTCCTCGTAGGTGCACACCTCCTCACGGCATTCCCTCTGAATGTTCCCAAGCTTCATCTCCTCCAACAGGAAGTTGGCCCTCCTCAGCCGCCTCAGCACCGAATGGGCTGAATTTGCTGGCAGGAACACTGCGAAGAAAAGAGTAACAGGAGAGGAGCACAGGAGGGAGACACAAAGGAGGGGGGTGGCAGAGACAATGTCAAAGTGAAGGAAAGGATACAAGACTCAGAAAAGTGTCAGAAAGACAAAAGCGACAAGCCGAGACTTCTAAATGGGAGAAAAGAAAAGTTAGTAAATGGAACGGCATGTGGGAGGGAAAAAGGCACAAAATTCAGAAAAAAAAAAGATAAGAAGCTAGAAAATTGGAAGAGTGAAAGAAGTGTAGGCCAAAACAAAAGAAGCAGAGCAGAGGCAAGCGATTTCTCCCACATTTCTGCATATAAACAAAAGCTTATTTTATTTGGCCATCCATTCCCAGACCACAAGAGAAAGTGGAGGAATGAACTTGAACAGACAAAGCGTTGTCTCATTTGGACGTTTCAGAGCACAAACAAAACCCTCCAAGAAGCCACATCATGATCTGGTTCTGATATTACCAAGTAATTGCTTTTGTTTGACTCATAACTTTGAAAGAATTTGATCAATAAGATGTGACAAGACGACAAAAAGAAGAAAAAAAACAACAACAATAAAACGAAACAAGGGAAGGCAGAATTTAAGCAGAAAAAACAGAATGGGAATTGTTTTTATCGTTTTCCTCCAGGATCAGATTCCAGTGATTTGTTTCAGTGCAAAGTAATGCTGAGAAAAACCTCACCACAATTTACAACAAATACCCTTCAGTAAACACCAGGTTTTTACAAGTGAGCACATCTTGACAAATGTTTCATGTAAGTGTATTCCAACAGGATATGAACTCTGAAGCTATCAAGTTAAGAATGTGAATGAAAAGTGTCTAGCACTTACAGAATTGGATGTTTCTCTCCCAACATGGGTGCCCAGTCCTTATTTGTTGGTTTGTTTATGTCCATATATAGCTGCTTGACTCATTATTGTTACTCATTATTACAAATGCATCTACATGCATCTCTCAAAAGATAAAACTTTGCAAATTAGAACGAAGTTTGAAAAACATATATTTAACTTGTTACTTATATTGCAATTAAGAATTGCTTATTTTAACGCCTATGTAAATAATTCACTGAAAAATCCGAAACAGGGATGACTGCAGTAAACCCTTCTTTACAGTTCCTGACCAGATTTTGTAGGTTTCCACTGATATTTTGATCAGTTATCTTTTGCGATAAATGATCTTGGAGGTTGTCAGGTCCCCTTGCCATCACCCTAATCTTTAGCTTCCTTATATTTTCTCAATCAGTTTCAAGTCAGCATTCAAGCTAGGCTACTCTGAAATGTTAATTTGGCTTGAAGTTATAGGTCACTTATAGAATAAGTAAAAAGATTACTTAAAACCTCAATCAAGAACAATTCTGGGCTTAAATGTAAATGACATACATATCTTCTGAGTGGAAATGGTGTAAGTAAACAATTAGACAATGGTGGGCATTTATCATATTATTTATTGTAAAACTTCTTATCATGATAAGAATTTTAAATTAATGTAACAATAATAAATTCAAATTAATGGTGTTTGAAAACCTCAAAAGTTGAGCGGATTGTCAGAATTGTTATTTTTACAATTTTCTCCGATGTTAGTTCCATGAAAGCATAAAAATAATGATTAAAAAAATGGTTAAATACGGTCACTGTGTGCAGGTTGGTGATGTGAATCCCACTTCTTTAAACTGAAGGCGTCCTGAAGAAGCCTATTTCAAAATTCTTATGTTTCTTTAAGAGCATTATTTGTGTTTGTAAGTCAGCTTGACAGTAAGTACATGCATTCACAGCCATATAGTTGCCTAAAAAGACTAAAAATATAAATGCTGTCTTGGTTATCACAATAAACAACACAAGATCTTGTGAAAAATTTCAAAAAGAAAATCCTTATAAAAGTAAATGTGACTTTTAAGAATAATTTTAAAAAAAATCCACCACAAAATTAATGTAATGAAAAAAAAAATAAATAAAAATTCACACCATGGATTCACAGAGTAAAAGTGCCCCATAGTGATTGGTGGGCTTGACTGCATGGGCCCCTGAATGAGATTCTCCTTAGGGCCTCATCCAAGCTTTACCCAGCCCTGGTGATAAAATCCATGAGTGTACTGTAAATAAACAGTGAATCAACTTACCACTCCCCATGATTCCTGCCAGTATGTTCGGGGTGATTTATCTGTGGAAAAAAGGTCAAACATAGATTAAAAGACTTATAAAAAAAATAACATCCACTCATCAACCTATTTTTGTCTGCTTAACTCATACTTTGCGCTGTTTCCCCCCCCCCCCCCCCACCACACCCACCACCAAAAAATCAATAACTCCACACAAAAAACAATA